AAGATTCTGCCGAAACGTTGCTACAACTTTAAAAGCACAACTACAATAACGTGGGAAAATACCCGAACAAAGCTGAATGCCATACACACACACACACACACACACACACACACACACACATACATATAATGCGGAGCTAGATGTATATAGTGTCAGGCAGCAGGCTAGAAACTGAGATACTATTATTTCTAGTTCTGCCTTAGGCATGAAACTGGCTTGAGCCATTTCCTCTCTCGCTCAATTCTAAGATGGAGGAAATGGTGAGCCAGTTCTGAAATTTTGCCAAGAAAAATACAAGGACTTGTCCTGGCAGCTACCAAAAATCAACACTAACTTAAAGGCACCAACAAAACAAAATAATAATGCTCCATATACATATAGAAAAATCAATATATAACTTGGTAGGATGACACTTGTGGCAGGAATGAACTGATAGAAGGATATAAACTACTTAAAAGAAACAGACCTAACAAAAAAGGAGGTGGAATTGTATTATATGTTAGAGATCACTTCCTCTCCATAGAGATGCACAAAACCAAGGATGAAAGCCTGTTAGAATGCTAATGGGTCAACATAAGAGGAGAAAAGAATGATATTATCATAGATATATACTATAGGCCACCCAACCAAGCAGAAAAAATAGATGAACTTTTTGCTAAGCAGTTAACAAATGTATGTCGGAAATACATCACAGGAGTAGTGGGGATTTTAATTACACAGACATTAACTGGGAAACAAACTCAGCAACAAGTGGGAAATTGGACAGGTTCCTGGCCAACCTAGCTGACAACTTTGTTATTCAAAAGGTAGAAAAGGCAACTAAAGGGACAGCCAGAGTGGACCTTATTTTTATTAACAGAGAAGAAGTGATAGAGGGGATTGAAGTTACAGAAATTTGGGAGAGAGTGACCATATTAGAATTCAAAACAAAACAGACACAAGCAACAGAACATTATCAAATCAGAGTCTTAGACTTTTAAAAAGTTTAAAAAAACTCAGAGCTTGAGAAGGATTCCATGGATGAAAATCTTAAAGGGGAAATCAACTCAAGAAGCTTAGGAAACTTTGAAAAATATGATTATAAAAACCCAGTCCAGCTCAATACCACTGAAAAAGAAAAACAAGAAATCCAAGAAAAAAAAACATGGTTACATAAAGAACTCTCTGACTAACTGAAAAAAAAAAGATAAGTACAAAAAGGTGGAAAGAGAAACACATAACTAAGAGAGTTTCAATAAATAGACTGGACCTGCAAGGATGAAATTAGGAAAGCTAAGGCTCAGAATGATGTAAGATTTGCAACAAATGTCAAAAATAGTAAAAAAAAAAGAAGGTTTCTTTCAACACATAAAAAAACAAGAAACAAGTTACAGAAGCAATCAGTTCATCAGTGGGAGAAGATGGCAAGGAAGTATCAGGCAGTAGAAAGAAAGAAGATTCTCTCGAATTCATTCTTTGCATCTGTCAACCTAACTTATCAAAAGCAGACAGGCTAGGAATGCAAATTAAAATAAGAAAATAAGCAACCATAAGATAAGAGAAAATCTGTCAGCTCTAGATGGATTCAAATCACCAGGTCCTGACAGATTACATCCCAGAATTCTGAAGGAATTGGCAGATGTTATCTCTGAACCATTGAACCACATCTTTCATAGTTCTTGTAGGATTTGGGAACTATCTGAGGATTGGAAAAGAGATGATGTGGTTCCCATCTTCAAATAAGGGAAAATAACAGATCCAGGAAATTACAGATCAATCAGCCTGACATTAATACCTGTTAAAAACCTTGGAAAATATAGCCAAGCAATAAATTTGCAAACATCTAGAAGCGTTAACCAGTAGCCAACATGGATTCATCAAAAACAGATCATTTTATTCTTTGACAAAGTGACTAATTTAGTGAATCAGCAAAATGCTGTGGACATAATAAACTTAGACTTCAGTAAGGCATTTGACAAAGTAGACCACAATCTACTTCTCAGTAAGCTAGGAAATTGTGGGACCAGATAGATTTGTAACTGGCTGACAAACCATGCTCAATATGTAGCCTCAATGGAACTACATCCACATGGAGGGAAGTACGTAGTGGGTATCTGAAGGTTCTGTTTTAGGCCCAGTAGTCTTCAATATCTTCATAAACTTACCTAGATGAGGGAATAGAAGGGGAACTAATCAAATATGCAGATGACACCAAGCTGGTAGAAATAGCCAACTCCCCAGAAGATAGGCTCAAGATCCAAAAGGATCTCAATAGACTTGAACACTCATCCTTACCTAATAAAATGAAATTCAATATAGATAAAAGTAAAGTTTTACACTTAGGCAAGAAAAAAATTGCACAGATATAAACTAGGTGAAACTTGGCTTAATGCCAGTAACTGTGAGAGGGATCTTTGAGTCCAAGCAGACAATCACTTAAATATAAGCCAACAATGTTCAGTCGCCACCAAAAAAGCAAATGTAATCCTAGGTTTAAGATCATGTGAAATAATTGTACCACTTTACAAAGCCTTAATACAAGCACACTTGGAATACTGCTTCCAGATTTGGTCACACAATATGTAAAAAAAAGTTGAGACTCTCGAAAGAGTGCAGAAAAGAGCAACAAAGATGATTAGGGGGAGAGACACTGAAACATGAAGAACAGTTACAGGAATTGGGTAAGTCTAGTCTAATGGGGAAAAAAAGGATTAGGGGAGACATGATAGCTATGTTCCAATACTTGATGGGCTGCCACAGAGATTAAGTGGCCAAACTATTTTCCAAAGCACCTGGAAGCAAGACAAGAAACAATGGATGGAAACTAATGAAGGAGAGAAGCAATCTAGAATTAAGGAGAAATTTCTTAATAGTGAGAACAATAACAACTGGAATGGTTTGTCTTCAGAAGTTGTGGTTGCCCTAACACTGGAGGCTTTCAAGAAGAGACTGGACAGCCATTTGTCTGAAATGGTATAGAGTCCCTGCTTAAACAGGGAGTTGGACTAGATCAGTGGTCACCAACTGGTGGGCTACGACCCACTGGTGGGCTGTGAGAAAATTTTGGTGGGCCGAGAAATCTCACCTCCAGAGTACCCTCCCCCAAAGCAATTAATCAAGGCTGCACAGAAACACAAGGCTGCGCTGCCCACATGGCCCATGGGAACCCTCCCCGCCCGCTCACTCCTTACCCAATTTAGCCTGCTAAATTGCTATTTTTCCTTTTTCCGACCATCATCTGTTCTGCTGTGCCAGGAGATTTAGATTAGCTAGGAAGCAGGAAATGGTTGGATTTCTTGCTTTCTAGCTAGTCTTTAGACCTTTAGTTCTGCTTTTAAGCACAGCTGACCCACCCTTAGGACTGTTCTATTATTCAGTGCAGACTCACGGTAAGCAAATTTAAGAGACTGAGCTTGCCGATGGCAGATAGATAGATCACTGAACGATTCTGTGAGCAATTCAATCTGCCTGCCTGCTTTGCCTGATTTTGGATAAAAGTTGCTCTTTTTTAAATAAAAAATTAAATATTTACATATATGGTGTGTTGTGAGTTAATTTTGTGGGTTAGCTTGTTAGCAAATTTTATGAGTTTGCTTGCAAGCAAATTTTATGTGACAGACTGAGCTAACCAATGGCAGATAGATAGATTTCTGAATGAATCTGTAATTCTGTGAGCAACTCAATCTGCCTGCCTGCTTTGCCTGATTTTGGGTAAAAGTTGCTCTTTTCTTTTTAAAAAATTCAATATTTATATAAATATTTATATTTACATACAAGTCATGCCCAGCCAGTCACATGACCACCAAACCACACCCACAAATTAGGCCATGCCCACAGAACCAGTTAGTGGTCCCTGAGGTCCAAAAGGTTGGTGACCCCTGGACTAGATGACCTCCAAGGTACCTTCCAACTGTTCTGTTCTGCTCTGCTCTGCTCTGCTCTATTTTTAGTGATGAATAACTTCTAGCCTTTACGGAGTGTGGAACATGGGGGGGCAGGGGGGGAGAAAGCACATCTAAGAGTGTGATTGTTTTAATTTGTCCAAGACTCAGTTGCCAGAACTGTTTTGCAATGAACTGTTTTGCAGGTGTTAGAGGAATAGCATCTTTGAGTAATGGATAAGAGAACAGTCAATGGTTTAATGAATACATATTTCTTGACTGGAGACAGAATACTATGCCATAAATCTTAGTTTGCAGAACTGGATTAATACATGCTGAGTTTGAACAATCACACATATTGTGGCTGGTGCTAATGTGTCTTTCTGGTGAGAGTTTAGGAGAACACTGTTCAACTCTGTGTTCTCACTTGGGAAGCTCTAGTCCAGTAGGAATAGAAAAAGAGAAATATCTTTAAGAACTTCCTAAGTACTATTACTTTTTGCTGCCAGAAGAATAGTCTGCCCATGGTTACTTTTTGTTACAGGATTCCCTGGCTGCAGAGATCAAGAGCACAATGAGAAAAGGGATGGACAGCTCTGGGTCATCTGAGTTCAAGTGAGTGGAGAGTACAGTAGCATTCATAGATTGGCAAGAGACCTGAATTTTTTAAAAATAGCAGTTTATAGCTCTAGGGATACCATGGTGATGAAGGAAGAAGTAAGGGATGCTTACTACCAGGAGGTGATATTGTGCAGGAGGTGCTGGAGAAGGCATCAAACTTGTGGAGTTGAACTGACAGACTGCAGATAGGTGGAGCTTAGAATACTTCTTGGCGTTATGGGCAGTAAAGGCTATGATTGTATTAAAAGCAACACTGGGAAAAAATGGCACCTGCAAGTTTTTCAAAGATGTGACTTTTGAATCTTTTGACAAAGAGAGTGACTAACCTTCTCTTTGATTTCTATCACTAATTACAATATTTGCATCTGTGTGCTTATTTTCAGAAGCTTCCGGCGTGTATTTGAGACAGTGAAGGCTGTGAATCGAGCAATAAAAGCTAAATCAGGAAGGGCGACCCCTTTGAGTCTTCCTCCGTGTTCTCCTAAAGTAGCTTCAGTGGCCTGCAGTCACTTTAGCACTCCACGTAACAACCGCTATGGTTCAGATAGCCCCATTATGCTGGAAGAAAAAGAACATCTTGCTTCTGAAGATCTCAATGATACCCAGTGAGTATTACTAGGATCTGGACTCCTCTGTGGGAATACAGCCTTGCAAATCCTGTAGGAGATATTTCATGGTTGAGTTAGCCCAGTTCACCATCTGGCAATCTTCAGGTGAGTTAGGACTAGAGTTCTGGAAATTATAACCCCCAACTATCCAGAGCATGCTCTTAGGAAGGTTGGATTACACCTTAAAGGCCAAACCTATACAATTTCTGGCTCAGCAGCTTTGGATTATACCTATTTCCCAGGATTTTAAGTTCCATCCTCATTTCTTGCCCATAGTTATTGGTGGGACATGAATCTATCCAAACAATTTATGGGCACCATATATTGCAGAGAAGTCTCTTTATCTTGATTCCAAACTTTCCAGACCATCCATAGTTTGAGGTAGTCCCATTGAAAGAAAAAAAGATTTGGGGACTACCTTAAGGGACATCAAAAGATTTATCAGTATTTTGTCCGGATGGGCCTTTGATGAAGAAAAAGCTGTCAAATAACTACATTCCTATATCTAGGAAGCAATTCCAGGCATGGGCTTTGAGATGAAAAAGCCATAAAAATGGATAGCTAAAGAAACACAAGTCTCCTCATTCCTTCCTCACATCACCTTGGATTTTTCTAACAAAACAAGGAGAACAACTCTTTATCACCCTATTTTTCTAATAGATATGCCTATCCTAGCAAAAGCTTTCAACTAGACTCCTTTGACACTGTTTTTTCAAACTTTGATTTGCAAACCAACATAGTGTCCTCTTAACACCTTGCATTGTTGGACACAACCCATCAAACTGCTGATGTATCCAAAAAATCTCCTGTTAATCCCAGGGAACTTACTTTCCATTCATGGTATCTTCTGCCTCTAGTGAAAAATGTCTTGGTTGAAGTCTTGTAAATCTGCAGTTACCAAAAGCCCAGTCCTTGTTCTTACTGAAATCAAGACAAAATGTCTTTGTTGGTTCATTCTAATCTCTTATTGCTATATTGTCTCTCCCATCCAATTTCAACAAAAAGCTTTTAGAGGCAGAGATCTGTTTCTGGGACAGATGTTTACCTTTTTGTTGACTTAATGATTGATCATGGTCAGTCTATGCTTCTCCAAAAGATGTTGAACAATAGTTTCTAGAATCCCCTGTTATCACTATGCACGTTGGAGCTCAAGGAGCTATCATACAGCAACATCTGGAGAACCAGGAATTCTCCCTCTGATAACATGCTAATGGTGATGCTTTCTGAATCATATTGCCTTCACAACTCTCTTTATTTTAGCAGCAGCGTGGATGCTACACCAGGTATACCTGGCCATCATGTCTTGGAAGCTGCTATCCAGAGTTTGTCTGCTCGCCAGAAGAACCACAGCACTGAGCATTCATTTTTTGAGATGGAACGTGAATGCAAATTGAAGCGCCTGGCTTGGGAGGCGGAGAATTTCAGTGGGTGCCTGACCCCCAACGAAAGCATCGCATCCATAGGCACCAACTATTCAGGCAGTTCTGGCACGTCCTTGAGCTCCTACTCTTTCTTCCCTGAAAAGCTTCAAATTGTCAAGCCTATGGAAGGTTAGTGCAATGGGGAAGCCCAGGCCTCTTCACTTGGAAAAACAGCTTACTTTGAGTTGTTCATTTATTGTGTGTCCTTTGGCTTTCCAAGCTCATTATTTTCAGAGTGCCATTTCTGAATAATACAGGTAGTCCTTGACTTACAACAGTTCATTTGGGGACTGTTTGAAGTTACGGCATTGAAAAAAGTGACTTTAATCAGTTCCCCCAAATAATCACCCATCGACTTGTTCATTATGACCATTTTTCACCCTTTATGACTGTTGCAACATCCCCATGGTCACGAGATCAAAATTCGGATATTAGCAACAGATTCATATTTATGATGTTTGCAGAGACCCAGGATCATGTGATCCTCTTTTGTGACCTTCTGACAAACCAAGTCAATCTGGGGAAGCCAGATTCACTTAACAGCCGTGTTGCTAACTTAACGACTGCTGTGATTCACTTAGCAAGTATGGCACGAAAAGTCATAAAGTGGGGCAAAACTCACTTAACAAATGTTGGGCTCAGTTGTGGTTATAAGTCGAAGAGTATCTGTACTACAGTTCTGAAAGTAATCTTATGAAATTCTATAAGGGAAGGGAATTTCTACGGACAAACCTTAACTGGAAGGGTGAATTCCTGGCAGTTCCAAGATTTAGATTTGGGGGCAGGAGAGAAACTCTTATAGGACAGCGCTTCCCATTTAATGTTGAGAAAAGTACAGACTTTGGGGGAGGGTGTGTTTCTTTTTTTATTTTAAGCTATGTTAAATTCCTGGTAAGACTTACATGTACAGTACTTCATGTAACAGTTGTAGGAGTAATCCCCAGATTACCATGTAACCTAATGATTGAAACAGATTTTCCACTTACTGAGGATTGAACTCAGGAAAGGATTCAAAGAGGGGGCTAAGATACTGAGAGTAACCACAACAGCCCAATCTAAGGAGGCAAGAATGGAGCAGAAATAAGAAGGAAAGGAATCTAGGATTCTTCCTAGGCATCCTGATTTAAAAGGAGATGTCCTAGAAAGCAATAGCGACTCATGGTGACAGAAACTCCAAAATGTGAAATTCACCAAGGATCCTTGCAAAGAAAGACCCAATATTAAAACACTGTTGGTTAGCAGGAGAAAAGGAGGGAAACAAAGAGACAATACCCAGATTCCAAGAAAAATCAGGGCTGCTGTTTTGAATTAGTTCTCGTCGAAATACAGACAAATGGTATATGGTAATAATATTCCTCAGTAATATTGCAAAGCTATATTGGAACTACCTATGAAAATCCACCGCTTGGACCTATGGGTAGAGATAGGACCAGAAGTTTGGATTTTATTGGCCAGGCATTTGTAAAGATGTGGCACGTTACTATGGATCCTGCCCTGTTTATCAATTAGTGAAAGTCAAAACTGGAATATGATAAAGCTCCAATGGAGAGAATACATTTAATTCCCATTCCTTTTTCTAAAATAACCCTGGACATTGTAGTCCTTCTGCCATGATCTAGTAAATGCAGTGAATATATCCTAGTTGTTTGTGATTAAGCAACTTGGTACCCAGAACCAGTTCTGCTGAGGAATGTGTCAGCTAAATGAATAGCTAAGGAACTGCTCAAAATCTTCAATACGATAAGCACACCAACTGAGATCCTCACAGATGAAAGATCCAATTTTTAATCAGCACTGTGTAAGTGTTTTGTGGAGATTTAAAAATAAAAAGCCCTTATCATCCGCAGGCAGATTATTTTACTGAAAGGATGAACCAGACCTTGAAAATTATATTTAAGAAATATGCAGGTCAAGACCCAATATTTTGGGTTCCATGGCTGTCTATGTTGTTTGCATTCAGGAAAATTTCCCAGACATCCAAGGAATTTTAGCCCCCTTCTCCTTTTAATAAGAGATAATTTTAAGGTCTTTAGAAATTATTAAGAAATGTTGGTGGGAAAATATAGAAAACCCTAAGAACTTAATATATGTATTACAATTCACAGGAATAAGTTAAAAGTCCTAGGATACATTGTCCAGGAGCACTTAGAGATAAATAGAGAAGGACAAAAGAGAGTCTGTGATAAAGGTTTAAAGGCAAAGCAATTTACTATAGGAAAGCAAGTATTTGTTGTTATTGCCCAGTAAAGAAAGCAAATTGCAGGCTAAGAGGCAAGGCCCCTACATAGTAAAGAGAAGAACTGAGTCAGCAAATTATGAAATTTAACTGGAAGATAGAAAAAGCAAATCTACCATGCTAACCTCCTGAGAAAAAGCCAAAATGGGTCTGGAACATGGGATGGCTTTCCTTGTACTGAAAGAAAGCCATCCAGAATTATTGGACTAAGTGGTATGGCAGCCATCCTATGGAAAGATCCGTATTCATTCTGACCGAGGCACAATCAAAGTATAGATTTAGAAAAGTTATTATGGGACTGTAAACATACAGCAGTTTTCCATGCAACCAGGTTTAAATGCTTTAGTAGAGCACAGAATAGAAATGGGTGAAACCCAACCAATTAGACAATGTTCCTATCGGATATTCCTATCGGAAGTGTTGAAATAGACAGATACCCCAGATGACATTGTAGAACTAGCTGTAAGTGACTGGTGCCCTTCAATTGAGGCTTAAAATTTTCAAGATTCCCTCCTGCCTTTCAATGTTGTCCATGTAGTTTGGAAATTTCTATTTCTTGTTAAAATGTTGGCCTGAAATTACCCATACTTCTGTTTAGGCATGCTGTAAATGATTTCTGCTGGGATTTGCCACTAGATCCAGCAAACTCAAGTAGACCTGTGTGCCTTTTCTTAGGTTCAATGACTCTGCATCACTGGCAGCAGCTGGCCCGTCCTCACCTGGCAGGAATCCTGGACCCTCGACCAGGTGTCTTTACCAAAGATTTCTGCCAACTTGACACTGATCTCGGAGAGGTCCACAATCTAAATGATTTAGAAGAAGATGACATGGATGTCAGCGCCTTGTCTTCCCTTGCTACCTCAACAATTAAAGCCAAAGAAACGCCAACTGGTGAGTGGGCTAAGCGGGATCACTGCTAATGGCTTGTCTTGATAAGATTTGAGGAAATCCTGATTTGAAAGTTAATAAACATCACCTCATCTTTCCTGCAGGAAAGCAATCACAATTTATTGGCAGCTGTGATAGTTGGAATATGTGCCTATTGGTGAGATCCAAACTCAGCATCACTAGTAGATATACTATGGGTGTTTTGGCAGTGTTCCTGTGGCAGTGAATCAGGGGGTCATGAGAATGTGTCTGAGAGAAGGCTTCCAGGAGTAACTTTCTACTGGAGAACCTGTTCTCTTCTAGTTTAGTGTTTATCAATCTTAACAAATACATGAATTTTAATTCTCAGAATTCTCCTGACAGCAATGCTTGCTGTGTAATTCTGGAATTGAAGTCTATGCATCTAAAAAGTGCTGAGGTCTAGAAACACTGCTCTATGTTTGCAGACAATCATTACCAGCAGATTCAACCAAGCTTAGGCACAGTGAGGGATGTTGGGAGTTGTAGTTCAGTAAAATCTTGGGAGCCATGGGTCCTCCACCCCTTTTCCAACTGGAGGTTATTAATCATTGCTGACAAATTGGATGGAATTTAATACCCTATTGTTTATAGAAGCTTTTCCCTTCACTTTTTCCCTTGATGTTTGTCCACCTCCATGACTCCCCTCCCTATTCTATTCACTCATTGACCCTTTGTTTTCCTATCCCGTTTAGTTTTTCACTCCGTTAACAATCTGCCCCAGACCCCGCCTACTTTCACCATCACCACCTGTTGCATCATGCACCCTAGCAAAGAAGTTACCATGGTGACACCAAGGTAAGCATCCTGTTGCCCTTCCCTTAAGCTTTCCAACCACCTGTCCTTCTCCTACATGGGAAGGCCATTTCCTACGTAAAGGATGTGTACGGGCACATCTGTGATTTTTGTTTTTTACCTCTTGTCTTGCATTCTCCTCCTTCCTCATTGTCAAATCCTGACTTTTAGGCATTCTCCTGATATGCGCAACTTCTGGGCACATGGATGGGAGCCCTGAAGTAAGACATCCTTGCTTGCTGCTTTCTTCCTCTCCATCTAGCAACGGAACTTCCCTCCTTGATTCATCACCTCCCGAGTGACCCTGGGTGGGAAAAAAGGAGACCCAAGCCCATTAGATAATGGCTGCAGGGAGGAGTAAAGCCTTGCAGAAAATAGAGAATGAAAGTTCATAGAACTGGCCTGATGAAGCCCTGGCTAAGAAAACACCTGCTGGGCAGCCCATAAAAAGTCATTGTGGGATAATAAAACACAGGCACCTGCCTTCGGTCAACATTAATGCTGGACACAGTTGCTCAAATACTTATTCAGAGGCTTTTAGTTGCTCTGAGCCTCTTCTTTCCCTTTATCTTCCTGTTCAGATGCCAATTTGAAGGAGCCAAAGGTTCTTAGTTCAGAGGCATCAAATGAGCAGCCTTCCCCTGTTCTGGAGACCTTTCACACCTTATGCTTCGTTAATGTAAAGAAGGTTTTGCTAAAGGATAATGATGAGGATTTGGGTGATAAGCAAAGTATATGGGTCTCCTTTCTCTTAAAAGCTCATTGTAAGAAAGGAACAAGGGAAGGAAGGAAGGGATTTATTTAAGTCAGTTTTTCCTCAATCATTCACTAGAAAAATATGGACTATAGCTCTTGTGATCCTGGGTTACATGGAGATTTATGAAATTATCCATAACATTGTGACTGATTGTATATGACAAGCTTAAACTTTCAACCAGGTCAACAAAATCCAAACAGCTGTGTCCAGATCACCATATTATAATTTAATTAATGAACAATAGTGGAGCTTCCATTGTTTGCTAAGCCATATGCTACCCAAACTCACTGAGCATAACCTATAGCAGTTTGCAAATCCAGGAGTCATTCTCGGTGGTTGAAATGGGTAGCTAGATTCAACCTCTCTGGGAAAGTAAGATTTTAACCCACTAATTTATTTCAGACTTCACTGCCAATCTCTCTGCTTTTCTGCAAACTAACTGAAATGAAATTTGTGATTCTGACTTTCAGTGCTAAGGCTTCAACTAATCCTGTTTTCAGAAAGATAAAAGTGGATAGCTAACAAAACTAATGCTGTTGAGATCTTTTCCTAAATAAAAAATGGTCAATCATTAATGTGAAGGGTGGCAAGGAGACATTCTGTTGTGGAAAATGATGTCAGTGGTGGTGTCATATCTGAGCCTGGAACATCATCTGTAAGTTTTGAATATTTCTTTATACAAAGCCTATTTCAGAACTTTCCTTCCTTCCAAGGTGGCTAAAATGAGGACCCAGATTGTTAGGGGCAATATGCTGACTCTGAAAACTGCTTTGAGGGCTGTAAAGCACTGTGAAGCAGAATATAAGTCTAAGTCCTATGCTATTGCTATGCAGAAAAAAAAGAAAAAAAATCCAAACAATTGGAACCTACAGATTATTTATTTATTTACTTGTATCCTGCCTTTATTGCTTTTACAAATAAGTCAAGGCAGCGAGCATATCCAACACACTTTCCTCCTCTTTTATTCCCCATAACAACAACCCTTTGAGATGGGTTGGGAGAGAGAGTGATTGGTCCGAAGTAACACAGCTGGTTTTTCATGGCTAAGATATACAGAGTGAACTAGAAGTCAGGCCTCGTAGGCCAAACACATGTTTTATTATTTATTTATTAATTTTTATGACACCCATGTCTCCTATAAGGTGCCTCTAAGTGGCTTACAGGCTATTAAAAATAGAAAAATAATTAAAATATGTTAAAATATTAAAACCATACAGATATAAATTTATAAACTATAGAAAACTCAAAATGGCACTGGGATGAGGTCTTTTTACCCGATCATGTACCCATTAATATTTTTAAACAGAAAATGTTCCAGTCTTAGGAATGTTCTAACATTCTGAATCAAAGAATTAGGGAAATTTTTAGAATATGTATGTTATATTTAATGTAATTTATATAGTAGTCAACATGGCCTAATTTTTAGTATGTCCTAGGAATATATGTATGAATATGTTTGAAAAAATATATATTAGTCACTGTAGAAATAGAAAAAAAGGGGCTGAATAGCCAGTAGTTGCCTACCTGTGGCCTCAATAAAAAAAACAAACCCACATTTGGTAATAATGTTAGGAGCCACTATAGTATTGATAGATGGGTCAGAGCTTTTCTGTCTTCACCATCTTTTTCTATCAGGTACCAAGATGGAAATACCTTCCTCCTGGACACCAAGAACAGGTACCTGATTTTAGAAAGCAGGCGCTGCTGTACTTATGGCATGACTGAGGAATTTTGGGAAATGCAGTCCCCACACACAAAGGGGGCCAGGTTAGAGAAGGTAGCCCTCCTGTAGCTCAGGAGAGTGTTAAAAAGAGTGTGTTATGGCTGACACAATACTGTTGATTTCACATGCTAGTTTGAACCCTTCTTTTGTTTTGCAGAAGGCCCAATTAAAAATAAATTTGTGGTGGATTGGGCCTAAAAGAGTGTAGTTCTCAGTCAGCCACGGGTACAAACAAAGTGAGCCACTGTTCATGTGAGTTGCAAGGAGCCTGCCTCAATTACCTGAAAGGGAACCAAAAAGTACCTTTTAAAAACGCTGCTGTTATAATTAGCAAAGAAGGTATGCAATCAAGCCCCAAAATATCAGGGCAACTCTCTTTTCCTATTCACAAGCAAGAGAAAATTGCTGAAATGGAGCATAAGCCCACATCCTGCAAAGCTTTCCTTCGTTTTCACTTTGCAGACTGAACGGAAGAGGGCGAAGTAAGCCGTTTTTTCCATTCGGTTTGTTCCATTATGTGGACCTTTCTTATTTTATATAGAAAATTAGTATTTTCAGGGCCCAGTTAATTATGGACATCTGCACCTAGTGGAGAAAATGCCATGTAATTTAGACATTGCTCTAAAGATTTTCTGTGAAAGAAACTTCCCAGTTGCCAGAATTCCCAGCCGGTACAGATTGAAAGGCTGTTGCAGAACAAAGCAAGGCAGGTTGGGATGTATGTTTGTAATTAAGCACCTAAACAAAACATATTGAAGTCTTAAGACTAAATGCTTGGTATTTTTTTCTTCCTCCTCCTCCTCCTCCTCTTCCTTAGTCTTTATAATACAGTTGTGCCGTCTTGTGGGCCCTGCACGGGGCTGAGCCCGTCTTCCCCTCCTCAGTCCCACCTTAAGGAACTATGCAGGCAGGAGAAGAAAAAAGAGAAGCTTGGACTGGTGACTTTACTGGCAAAACAAGGCATTTCTGCACAGAGCAAAGGAATGGTGCTTGCATCCCATGCTATTAGGGACCCAACAGTCTCTTCTTGCTTTTCTCCTTCCTTGGTTTCTGATTGGACTTCAGGACTGCTGCACCACAAGAAGCCTGAACAGAGCCCGAATAGCATCTTCAGCTTGAATCTGGTAGAGAAACTGCAGCAACTAGGGCTCAATGAGGTGTTGGCTAGAGGGGAATCATCATACCTAACCTTACATCAGCAGGAACTTCACCAGGGAAAGAAATGTAGTTCTGGATTTGGAAACCAGCGAGATCCAGTGGGGCCTCAATAAAAATGAAGAGGGTGGTTTGGGTGTCCTACTGCCTGGTTTAGGAAAGTTGGACAAGACTCGGTTGTACAGCTAGAACACTGGGTGTACTGGGTTGAGAAGCACTTAAGTTCTGCTTAGAGCATTGTTTTCTTCACTATTTGTGAATCACTGTTGTTCTTCAATTTTTTTTCCCTCCTCCTTCCTACTGCCAACGGAACACACCGACTCTCACACCGATATCTAGTCGTATCCCCGATCCCAAACTCATTTCTTCTGCCTTCTGTTGTCAATCTTATTCTATTAGAATTGTACAAGTCACAGAGCCTTCTGGGTTAGGAGGCACAGGACAAAAGGAGGGGGGAAACCCTTGAACTTCCCAGTTAGAAATGGTCACGGACAGACTGAGCCTTGGAAGCAGCGGCTGGAGTAGATTATTTTCTGGGATGAGAAGCACAGATTAGCAGCTGCTTTTCTATATCATTTTAGTTCCTTGTTTCCACCTGTCTCTGCCCTCTTTATATATTTCAAAATTCTGCAGGGATGGCAGACTAAGTAGAAATTTTGGTGGGGAGTTTTCGTTTATTGGGAGGAGTTGATTGAGAACAGTCCTTCATTCTGTTTTACTACCAGTGCTGGTATCCTTGACTTTTGTTAACTGTGACATGGTGTCTGGGTCTTCATCTTGAGGAAGCCTGCAGAGATTTTAGAGACACTTAGAGACATAATCACAGTTTGTTATACAAAAAAACATTGAAGAAAGTTTATCAAGCTTTGGTTGTGGTTGTATTATATTTCCGAACCAAGTGGCAGTTGCTTTATGTTTTGTGCATGAAAATTTTGCTTGGGAATGTAGAATTTCCTGCTTTTTAATTTTTTTCCAGCACTTTATTTCTCCTTCCAAACTACTATACAAGCTGGATCCGTGTTTACGTTTCACCCAAGGTAAAACAGAAATAGTTCATGTTCCTTCCAATTCCTCCTGAATGACTGACTATTCTTGTTCTTTTCAGAGTTAAGCCAAGTTTGCCATGGCTTCCATATGTGTTGTGTTTTTCTTTCTTCTCTTGAAAAGAATGCCTGCATTTTTCTATTTATGAATGTTAGGTTAAAAAGCCAATCTCATCCCTCTTGGACCTGTCTAGTTCTGTACTGCTCGCATGCTTGTATGTGTGTGCTTCACAAAATACCATTTGCACTCCTGCTCCGAAGGCCAGTTTGCACTCTTCCACATGTAGTTCTCCTCCTGTGACTTGGAAAAATTAAATGTTGATGCTGTTTCCCCGACCAGTCTTCGGTGTTTTTTCCTACATACACACATTCAAACATGTACACATTTCACCTGTTGGAAAGCTGAGCTAGAACATTTCTTTCACTCATTCATATGGCTTAACTGATTTAATGGCAATGCCATTTAGACTTTCCAGCATTCTTAGGGCAGTTTAGAATGTTAGCATATTGTCCCCAAAAATCTGGGTTTTCACTTTATCAACTTTGGCAGGGTGGAAGGATCTTGATGTCAAGATTGACTTACACAGTGGGCAGAGTTGGTCTGCAATGGTATATTCTAACCACTATACCACAGGATTCATTTAATTTAATATAGTGCTGAACCACCCATTGTTATTTATAAATCATCCTTTATTATACTTCAATGTTATTCCTGAATCATGCTCACAAACTATGGTTAAATGAATTATGGCACAACATGACCAGTAATTTGATGTGTCCTACTTTGGTACAAGTGCCTTTGAAATTTGCAGGTAGAAAGAGTGATTGTACGCTGTTTCTCCAACAATACGCCCCCCCCAATAGGAAGTCCCAGCATGTTTTATAGGCATGAAATGAAATTAAGCCCCTCCCCCCAAATTAAGGCCTATATTAAAACATGCAAAATGCGGGGGAATGGTGGGGGGGCTTGCCGTTAGAAAGTACTTTTGTTGCACACCCGGATATGGTGCTGCCTGTGTTGACCCCGATACGAAGTGCCCCACCAACGCCGAGGTCAACATCCAAGCCATCGCCGCCCACCCGCCTGAAGATGCAAGGGGGGGGGAAATTAAGTCACCCCCGAAAAGACAGCCTAGCCATTTTTGGGGGGCTCAAAAAAAAAAATAAGACCCAGCCTTATTATATGAGAAACACGGTAGTAGATAGATAAGAAGCTAAATTCAGAGAGACATGTCAATCACAGCCTCATGTCCTGATCGTTTTTCAGGCTTTGTGCATTCAGATGAATGTCAGAAAGGCCTGTGATGGGGAAAGGTAGGTTGATAATGTAGAAATAAATGTGTGACTTCTTCCGTATACATTTTTTGATTCTGATCAAGATGATTCTGATATTTTAGTCTAACCTGCCTAGAAAATGCCACACCAGGAGTGGTTGGTTAGACAATAAGGGTTATGTAGTTGTATTATCTCTCCACCTGCAGAATAGACGAGGGGGAAGAGATTGAGTAGATGCAATTGCTTGATCTAGCGGGGGGGGGGGGGGGGGGGGGG